TCACCCCGATTACAATTCATTAGTTCGAAGTTCAGAGATTCATTTATCAAAACATTATTCGATATTCTTAATTTCATTGCATTGAGAATTACGCTTTAACTGCTAAATTTTATTCTCTTTTTAAATTTAAATCAAGTTTAACTTGAAATTACACTTGATAATTAAATTTCCTGACGCTTGCTAGAATACTTCAATATTGACTCCCAATCTATGGTATTATTTGGGGAAATCTCCTGCGGATTATTGAAGACCACGTTCAATTCACCCTGTTTTTAAAAAAATAGTATATTTCTTGCATGTTAAGATCCAAAATTTTATTTTCATGGCATTCACTCTAGCAAGCACAAATCGTTCCGTGAGGTCCATTTCCTCATTTTATCTTGATTCGGCTTGTTATACTTCTACTTATGAAATAGCCTATAATACACATTTTATAAAATTTTTATTTGTTCAGCAGTTATGGGAACAAATTAGTAGTCTTGAATAAATCAATAAAGTATGACACGTTTATTATCGTTGCGAACCAAATTTGCCGACTATGACTGTAAATTAGAAATCGACAGCTGTCAAAAATTGCCTTTTCGAAACAGTTAAACGTATCTGTTTGTGAATAAGCCCAGGCCACTGACCATGGATACGAAATATATTTTTAGGATAATATTCTAATCTAATATGCCTGAGACAGTGTTTCTTTTCTGAGCCTTAAATGCCATATTTTGTTCAAATTTAACTTTTTGTCTCTATATAGCACATTAATGAATTGGTAGGATTTTCGTAGGTCGTTTAATTCTTATCTCAATAGATCAAATTTTAAGCGTCTGAGTCAGTCGGTAACGAATGTTTTTTTTTCATAAAAGTGTAGGAATTTGAATCGATTGTGAGGTATTTTACAAGATTGGGACAAATGTTAAAGCATTTTCAAGTAAAACTGAAACATTTTGTGTTAAATTATAAAATTGAAACTGCGTTTGAGAGCCATTAAGAGGCTTAGAAAGAAGCCTATTCAGGTCTTTTGCACTCAAACAGCCTACTTAGCTAACTTTATTAACCTCTCTCTATAGAATGCAGCGGGTGTGCCAAAGACAACCAAAACATAAATCTATTTGAAAAATAATGAAAATTAAACTCGTGTGCACTAGATCAAGAGTTTCAACTTAATTAGGGGCAGAGATGATTAGCAGACATGTTGTTGGTCTAGTTGCAACAAATCAAGCACTAATTACTTCCTAAAGTTACATCGTCCAGAAACTCATTTACTTATAAGAATTCTAGCCAGTCAAATTACATTAAATTATTTTAATCATTGAAATCCGACATGTAAATCCAAATAGTTAATAGTATTTAAAGTTAGTGTATGATAATATTTCTATGCTTTGAAAACCGGTAGAGTAGATTTTATTTATTGTTAACTCAATTGCGCGTTAGGTTTGTTAATTACCCAATAATTTTGATGTTAATTGAATTGTACTATCAGATCCTATACTCAAGAAATCATTTGTAATTTGCGCATGAAGCAAAACGTCTCCTAAAAATTACTAAATTTGATTTTATAACTGATGCATTATAAATATGGATGCTAACTTGGATTAAAAGAATCAAACACGCGATTTGCAATGAATTAAAAGTACAAAAAAAACAAATTTAAGTTCATTTGATATTAGTTGCTCAAAATATTCATATCAATGTCATGATGTTCAATAATGTCATTGTATATTGGTAATGCCAATTAAAAGCAGGAATTCATTGATGGTTTTCTTATGACAGGATTTACTAATCGCTTCTCTCTTATCCTAGCAACTAATATCTCCTTCAAATATATAAATGTTGAGATTATGAACACCTGTGGACTGGAAATAAGAGCATAAAACAATGGGACAAAATTGATGGGAATATCTACGCTTTCTACATTTGACAGTATCAAAAATACTATTTTTCGGTTTCTCTGGCGGTATTGCTTTCATTCAAGAATAATATGAATGATTATAATTGAATTCAATTTGTCTAAGGGAAATATTTATTTATCCCAAGGTAAAGACCAACGGTGGGTCTTCAAATAAATCATGAGTTTTCGTTACTATATTGATGCAATATGCGAAACAGCATAAGAGTAAAAAGATGAAAGATTGAAGATTTAGTGCGATTTAATATAATAAACTTCATATATAAAAACCTTTTTACAATTGTTCCATAATTTCAAATGGTCTACGCGCCAATAAATTGAATGGTTGATGAATTTCAATTATAAAGGAGTAAAAACAAGAAATCATAATAAAAGATTACTTAATGTCATTTTTAATTGACGAATCTTTTATAAAAAAGCTCTGTATAGCGTTTTTATTTGTGCTTATTTAAACTATGGGTAGTTCTCGTCCTCAATGACCAGTCCATTTTAATCTGTGTATTAGTGATTGAATAATATTCCACGCCTAATTCAAACGGTCGCCTAATCTGAACTAAAAGGTCTTAATTGTTTTAGAAAACTTATCAAAATATGATCCGTTCCATATGACGCCAATTTTCTTTAATAAAAAAACATGCCATAGATAAAAATATTTATTATTAGGTGCGGATCACAAATTCATATATGACAACCTCTTAATAATGATAAATCAGTCTTCATTTAGCGTAATTTCTTTAAGTATTTTAATTTTCCCAACTGCGTCTAAAATATTGTTGACCTACAACTGCATACGCGATTGTTTGCATACGTCACATGATGAGTCAATTATTTTGCGGCGTGTATGCTCGCTGATGTGGCTTGAAGCCAGGAGTAAGTCTAGAGTTGTTCTGGTTCCATTATAGTCCAAATATGTATCAGGATCCTCATTGCTGTAAATAAGTTCCAGGGGGTTACTGTTTGACATGTCTTCAATTTCCTTTCTAGCCATGTTTTTTTTATCCTTGTAGCCCCATCTGGTGGAATGGGTGTTGAAGTCTCCTTATACTACAGTTTTGTGTGAGATGTTCAGAAAGTCAAAGTTTGGACAATTCTGGGGTGGATTATAGACTGCATATATCTTGAAGTGGTTTTTACATTTCCAAACATTTAATCTGATTATTTCACATATGTCTTGTGTCGAGCCCATACTCTTGATTAGATCGTAGTGTGATGTAAGGCCTTCTTTTACTCCATTCACAATTCCACTTGCAACTTGCCGGTATTTAGGTAGATTTTACAGGGTGTAACCTGGGAATTGGTAGTACTTCAGTTTGTCATCCGAAATGTTTGCTTCCATAATTGTGGAAAGTTCTACATCATAGTTTTGTAGAATTTTCTGGACTTGAATCATTTTGTCCTGTGATATCTCTCCACTGGAGAATCTGACGACGCTAAGATTTGCCCTTACGAGGACGATTTCTCTTATTGCCTTTTCAAGCCAATCATAATAAATCGAAGTCAAATGAAATGCCGAGTGACAGACTTTTTACCGTACAAAGATACGTTGTCCAGGGTGCGCCACGTGGAGGGTAGTCTTTCGCGCACCCAATGTTAGAAGTTGAACCTGATGAAATTAAGCTGACATTTCATAAATCATTCCTTAGCTTTGAGATTCAGTTCATATTTCTTCGCCTTTAGAGTCTATAAACTTTTCATCACAACCTGATACGTGAACTGTACCATTCCAGTACTGTCAATATTGTCAAAGTACAGAATAGTTTACTAATCATTTTACTAGGTTTTCAATTTTCAAAAATTTGGATTTTGAAAATTGATTAGACCTTATTTGGCGGTTTGTGTGATGCCTCATTCCATTCGCAAAAAACATGCATTAGACGAGTTCACCCAAACGGCGCTCTTAAATATACTTTTGACTTATTACATGAAGAAGGTTACAGTTGTTTAACCAGTGGAATTATATTTGGCAGACTATTGTACGTTGACAATTTATTTCGATTATCACAAAGATCAGGTTGTAATAAAACCGAATCAAATTCTTTAGTCATTTGCTAACACGGTAGTTTTTTTCATATTTTTTAACAACTATTTATGTGCAAATTACGAAAGTTTTAAAGAACGACAAATTCTATTTCATATTCTGCTTGAAAGTAAAAGACTGCAAATTTAAAAATTATGAAAAATTCTATGTGCTACCCTTTCTGATTTAATTCAATTCCTAAAAATGAAATCATTCCTGCCAATCTCGTCTAATGTAGCTCATGAAAAGAGATTTAAATTTCCGTTTTAATTTTTGTCACTTTATATTTATTACCCCATTGTAGACATTCTCGTCAATTATAAAAAGATTTTTACATGTATTGATTAAATTATTGTTAATCAGGAATATAGTGAAATGTCCTCTTTTTCCTAATGTCTTTAGTCACTCGATATCCACGCAGTGATTGCAAAGTAAATAGGAAAAATATTATTTTAAGTTGATTGAGAAAACAAAACAGATCAATATATGAATTTTAATTCAAGAAAACCTGCTTGATAGCATCGATTCAATCAAATAACCTTTTTGTAAATTAAATAAATCGATGAAATGCTGCATATCCCTGATGCAATATACACAAATGCGTTCGACAGTTTAGGACAGCATCGTAACCAGTGAAGCATATTAACAGTAAATAGGGAAAAAAATTCTTATAATTGAAATAACAAAATATCTGATTCAGCTCCATTTAAATTATAAAATCAGAAAAGAATTATTCGAAACACATTTTTAGTTATGAAATATGATTATGATTAAATATTTGCATTACGACTTAACATTGTTTGTTGTCACTGGATTGCCATTTTCTAAAGTAAATAACAAAATGGCAATGACTTTATTACAATTCGATGAAATAAATGATTAATCTTTGCGAGTGTCGATTCATCAAAATTTCAATACATATTTTTAAATTTGTTTAAATATCAGTATTCGAATCTACACCTCACACCCCAAACATTTATTTATTTATTTCAAATGGCAGGCTTTATGATATTTATCATTAGCCCTTAATCTTTGACTTCAGCTTCACCCAAGAGGGGGGGGGGGTACATTTATAGCAGTTAATTAATACCAGTTCATTAGCAGTCTTCTTGCTTCCCAGTATCTTTGGCTTTCCGTCCTTGTCTTTAGAGCTGGACACCGAATCAGATGGGTCTTCTCCATTTCCTCATGTAGGTTACATAGAGGGCATGTGGGTTGAGTGTATACTCCCAATCTGTGAAGGTGTTTTGCCAAGCAATCGTGTCCGGTACGTAGTCTAAACTCAGCAACGGCTTCGATTCTTGGCCAGTCGGGTATGTTGGAGAGTGCCACTGTCCACTGTTTCTCCTTTGTTCGAGCTTTGAGTTCGTTGAACCCTGAGGTCTGGAATTCTCTCCTGATTAAGGCCTTCATTGTGTGGAAGGACATCGGCCGGTCCATGCATTGCAAAATCGTTGTTCCCTTCTTAGCAAGTGTATCAGCAATCTCATTGCCTTTAATGCCACAGTGACCAGGAATCCATTGTAGGACCACAGTTTTGTTTTTCTCTCTCAGCAGCTCATAGATCTTTCTACATTCCTTTATCTCAGCTGTTTTGGGTGTCTCTCTGTTTCCAATAGAGTTTATTGCTGACTGTGAGTCCGAAAGTATCACCGCTTTGGTGAATTTCGTATCCAGGCAACATAATTGGCNCACAGCAATACAACATTATTGGCTGAATAAACATCTTGTAAGTGGTGTTTAGAGTTGAGCGCGCACAGCCCCATACACTACCAGCAAGACGCTTCAGGACATTCAGTCTATTGGAGACGCGTTCTGCTATTTTAGCAATGTGACTTTTCCACGTTAGCTTTGTGTCAAACGTCATTCCGAGATAAGATAACTCATTGGTTTTTTCTAGGGTAATATCCTTGTACCTTAAGAGCGGGTTTATGCTCTGATGGGCCAAAGAAAATGTTTGGAATGCAGTTTATCATTCCATTGTTGTCACACCAGTTTCCTAGTAGTTTAAGTGCACTATTAAGAGCACTTTCTGTCCTCTCCTTAGCGTTTTTCTTAGGGTCGGAATACCATAGAACAAGATCATCTGCATAAAGTAAGCACTTAACGCCCGTGACTGTCTGTACCAATTCGGCTATGTCATTGATGAAGACATTGAAAAGAGTGCAGCTTGTGACAGCTCCCTGTGGGAGGCCTGTTTGCAAAAGATTGGATTTTGATAGAGCATTTCCATATCTGACTTTACACGATCTTTGTCCAATGAATGCTTTTATCCAGTTTAGCATGTCATGCTTAATACCAATCTTTGCCAATTTTAGAATTAGCTTCTCTTTCCATACTAAGTCATATGCTGATTTGAAGTCGACGAAAACAGCCGTAAGGGTATTTCTTGCATCAAGGGCATCTTTGATATGTTGGAAGAGAGTGACTACTTGTTGCTTCGTTGATCTTTGTGGCCTAAAACCTGCTTGTTCACTCCCAAGAATATTGTTAGTCTCAAGGAACCAGGTCAGCCTCCTGTTAACCATTCTTTCCATAAGTTTAGCCAGCACGCTTGTGAGGGAGAGAGGCCTATAGTTGTCAAAGTTGCTAGGGTCTTTGCCCTTTTTTAGTACTGGTATTACTATGGCAACCTTCCATTGGTTAGGTACGAGACTGGTCTCCCAGATTTTGTTGTAAAGCGTCAGCATGGTTTCCTTGGCTTTTGGACCATTCTAATTAGAAATTCTGGATGAATACCGTCTTCGCCAGGAGACTTACACCCCAAACATAAGCATTTAAAAACCGTCAAGTTTATGAAATGTAGAAACTTTACTTATTAAATTCTAGATGATTTAATATTTCCACATTTTAAGATCAATTTTTTGAATTAAGAAAAGGTAAAAACTCTATTATACTACCATTGGACGACGGAATTAGATTTATTCAACACTTAAATTAAAGCGCATTTGGTAACAACCTTTTGTTGACTAATATTTTAGTAATGCAATAAGCCTGATAATAAATGCAGAGAATTGCAGAAAATGCCATACTTAAAATATATAAAGATTGGGCAAATGCAATTTATTAGCATCTAATATTAATGAGAATATTTTTTTCACAGAAAAAATAATTTCAAATAGAAAAATAATGAAATAATATTACTCCATATTAATAGTGACTTACTTCTGCACTCGGAAATATCAGGGGATTCCCTTTGAAAAGAATAAACATTATGGTTTTCCAAATAATTGAGAAAATGTGACATTATAAAATAGACTACCATTTTTTAGCCAATAGACTGTTATTCCAAAATTTGAATCTTGCGATGAAATAAAAAATTAGTTATTTAATCAGCGTCCACCCATTCGTACACAAGTGTACCATCTATTCGATCTTCAGCTTCATTTACAGTTAGATTCTCTATAAAATTTTATAGTTGATATCAAGCCGCTTACAGACCAACCTCCACGTGCTGAGCCCTGGGCAACGTAACTTCGTACAGCAAAAAAAGTCATCACTCGGCATTTGATTTGACTTCGATTTATTATGATTAGATTAACATAAATTCTTTATTATTGAACAAATAAATTATAAATATAGCATGAATTAATGCTTGATGATGTAATGTCTATCTCTAGGCAATCCATGATGACGATAAATGAAAAACATGATGAGTGATTGACGGGTTTTCACCGCTATTATGTGCAGTCCCTATATTTGCAATTATTTGTTGAAGATGGGAATTAGGCCTTTAACCAATGGTTGAAAATTAATATAACGCATAAATGCTTCTAAACATATAAATCTCATGATTCAAGTTACGAAACGATGTAGTGAAACGCAAATCAATAAACTCGCTTTCATATGTTAACATACAAGATTTATGATCATTGAACGGTTATACCATTTGCAAACTAATAGAGATTTCATAAAGAAATTGCGCCTTGCCAAAAAGGAGATTTTCAACACTGAGACAAGTGTTTGATTATTCTTGCGTGCAAATCGTGATTCTTGTTTTCAGCCACATTTTATGGCAAATAAACTTTCTAATTGAAATAGCGAGATCGGAATCTTTGCATCAAGACAGAACTGTGAATTCATTAAATTTTTAATTGCAGATAAGATTTGCTTTCAAAAAAAGTTAATCTCTTGTTATTCACTTGAAGAATATGTGTAAATGGGCAAGCGCACACGAATTGCGAAAAATAATTGAGACAAATCATCAGGTTGTGGGGAACTATAAACCACTACACCTGATTGTAAGATTAATAGTAAATTGATCAATGGAATCTCTCTTTTATGCCATAAGTGCTAGTGTAAAATCGTATTCTTCAAATCAGACTAATCGAGATGTTTCACTAATAGAGGGTAAACTATATTAAGCATTGATAAATAAAAATTTCCATAGGATTAACCCCACAAAAAAAACAGGAAACTGCGAATTCAATAATTTTAAATTACAAATTATGTTGTTATTTCAATATAAGTTAACCAATTGTCATTTAAGGGAACAAATTTCTTTATGACACCAATTGAGCCAAATATTCTGATTGTGAGGAAATATAAATTTATTTTATCTACTCGAAAATTAATCTTTGAACTCAATCGTATTTTCTAGACATTTCATTAATTGACAGTGAATCATATCAGAACTGGTTATATTAATAATTGTCATAGTATTGACCGGAGGCAATCCCTCTCACTTTGTATAGCGATATGTTTGATATAAAGCGTAGAAATTACAACCACTTATTTCAGCTCTGGTTGGAGACATTTAAGCAAACGGTACAAATGTTGTCCATTCACTTAGCATTTTTCATGCAATAACCTTGAAAATTACGTTGAATAATAATTTAATTCCTTGAATACCAAAAACTAAAACCTTGTGTGCACAGCATGCTTATCACATTGTCTAAAATAGTCAGGTTTATCAAAACGGTGAGCAGTCCCATTTCAAAAACCGCGCTTTCATGTCCTCGGTATTATTCTCCACGTATTAACCAGCACTTATATGTAATTACAGTCTACTTGACCTGGACTAGAAAGTCGTGCAAGAACTTATCGAAGTGTCACTCATATGACATATATTGTCCAGCCAGTTAAAATATTTCGATTGAAAAAAATCGTCTTGGTCTCTCGATCAATTAAAGCCATTGGATTGAATATTTCTTAATGAATCTCATCATTCAAAACCCATCCTGTGATTGATATGCAACTAAAGGGATTTTCCTGTTTCGAAAATTAAACAAAATGAAATGACTTTTTGGTTATTTAATGAAGTGAATATTTTATCTTTGTCGGTCAATATGTCAACGAACTTGTATTGGTTTAGTGCCATTTCATCAAAATGTCTTTAGTTTTTATTACTTTGACTATGAAAGGAAGGTAAGTTTTTTTATGCTAAAATATTTCAATGTATATCGATGTTAATCGATTAGCTATTCGGTATAAAAGTTTTTAGTTGACTTAATATTACCCTACTATTAATTTGAATGCTTCATTATGAAATATAATTCATTTTAACATCTACTGTTTGGCAGAAAATAATGCTTGCTTAGCTTTTGGGCGTTGTTGAAATAACCTTATATGACCAGCTTTAAAACTTCATTTTATTTAGTTGCTAGTAAAAAGCTCAAAGAATCCTGAAAATTATTAAGAAAATGAAGAGAACATTGAATATCAAGAAGGAATATTCAAAATATTTCTATTTGGTAATTGAAACAGGAACAATTCTTTTTTCAAAATAAGTTTGAACGTAGGCCGAATATGGCATGAGTATTGTACATGAAATCGTGTAGAAAGTATGAATGAATTTAACAATGAACGGAAACGTTATTATTGTGCGATTTGACATTACGTTGTAGCTCATATTTGAATAATATAATTTTTTATCACAGCTATCGCAATGACCAAATCACCTTGGTAAAGAGGAAGCAGGACGCATGCTGAGTGAAATATTTTTTCACTTTCTAGTTGCATCTAAGATGGCCGTTAGTCGTCAAAACTGCATAGGCAACATTCTTTCGTTTTTTAATCACTTCTGTTTATACATAAATTACTTCTACATTAATTGGGTCATTCTCTGTTATAATCTTTGATGAACTTACTATGCATTATAAACAAGCTCATCAATGAAATTTAATTACATAAATACAAGATATATAAAATTGTGGCACACGTTGGAGCACGCAATAAGGCAAAATAAGTTTGATTATTTTTTTGGGTTTTCTTGCTAAATGGATAATACAAATTTTATTGAAAAATTATTACAGTGGGCGTTGAAACCTATTTTAGAATCAGATTAAATGGGTCCAAAATATGAGCAATGAAAGTTAAAGTAATATTTTGCCTCAAAATGGGGTGAGCGATAGACTTACTTCCACGTGGTGCACCCTGGGAAAAGCATTCTCATACGATAAAAAAGTCTATTA